ATTCTGTGTAATGAAGCAGTGAGAATGAAATTTGCATACATTGTAAATGATGCATTTGTGCGATAATATTTTATTGTAACACATACATGTGTGATTTTTTGAAAAAAACCACAATATGTACACTCATATGAAATCAATTGACTGACAAATCATAACTATTATAGCAACTACTTGACTAGACTCGAATGTACATAGATAATAACTTTCATCATTGTAACAATGTTAATTAATTAAATTTAACACAAGAAAAATCTCCGGATGGAACTATATAAGTAAAATATTTTGTGATACCATGTAGGAGTTTAGTGTTGGCCTTTATTTATTGACAAATTAACTTTGGATTAATGCTGTTCACCTTTATCCTCCAACTCTGACCTACAGCAATACCCACAATACTTTCCAAAAATATAAATATACTTACACAACTATTAGTCCAAAGTTTACAAGAATGGTATATTAATCTCAAATCCTTTGTGGTAGGACAGCTATATTAGATGGAGACAAAAATAAATGAGAGAATAATGTCATTATCCTTAAACGGTTAATTGAGAAAAGTTACACTCCATGTCCATGTGATCAATCTTTGGGATACCAGCTGGGAATGTGTTGGAATAGTCAAATCTCAGGGCAACGAAGGTAATGAATTCAGACAGAGGTGAAGTCAACAATGTAAATCAGCAATGTACAGAGATGGAAAAGGCTGGTCTTACTGAAGGTATGAATACAATGTCAGAAGCTCATCTTGGGATCAAACGTGATATTAAGTTTGTGAGCAGACTGGTTTAATCTCTGAATGTTGCCCGGAAGAGGGATGATATCAGTAGCTATAGAACAGAGAGCTAGGAGCAGGAACAATGGCTTCCATCTTACCAATAGTTAAGGAGGTAATCTCTGCTCACCCCGAAGTACTGGATGTTTGATGATCAAATTAATAATTGAGTAATTCAGGCTCTTGATAAGGATTGGGAAATTCAACATGATACATTGTCTCCACGCTGTCCCCAGTCAAATGGGAAGGCTACGGGCGGCAATGAAAATTGCCAAAGATATCATAAAGATATCAAGAAATCAAGCACACACTTGCATGAGACAATCCTTGAGAGGAGAAATATACCTTCTTAAGACATGCAAGATAGTCCAGTCCAAAGACAAATATCATGCTGTACTAATATTGTTCTTCTAACAACAAAAAAACACTACTAAAGCTGGAAGCAGTTGCAGGTATGAGTCACAAAATCAAGGTGCAATGGCATAAAGCCAAATATCATTTTGATAAAACTGCCAAGTTGTTGCCAAAGCTGAGCTTGGGAGAGCCAGTCAGTGTGCAAATGTTCAAAGCTCTCAACAAGAGTCAGTTCACTTGGAAAATTGGAAGCTGTGATGAGTAGGTGCCACTTGTTTCCATTTGGTGAACACAAATGACCAGATATATTGCCACAGCTGCAGACGCCTGCAATATAGAGAAACTGTGCCTTCACTGCAGGCAGCTACACAGGAAGATGCGATCTCAGCATCTGCACAGTATACTGAACAACCAACATCCTCGTAAATTTACTGTTTGCTAGCAACTGAAATAGATCAGCGAAGACAGTTACCATGGCAACAACACTCACCATTGGAACAAGACTCCCTAGGGAAGAAACATCGCTCTAGGAATGGGCAGCTACCAGAACAAACAACAAATGCTCACATGTATCATTAGGAGACTTGCACGACCTAAAGACGATGTCTGCACTGCATGTTCAGAGACTGATAAAAATGAAACTGACTAGATTTAAAACAGTGTCATTAATTAATTATAATTTTCTTCATGGTCATGAAAGCTGGGTAACTTGTAACTGCAAATGATAGTGCATGCAATTTTATTTCATTTTGTTATGAGCAGGAACTTTCGAACATTGATTGTGGAAGGCTGTTCACAGTTAAAAGTACTGTTGTAAAGTGGGAGGCCTTCAAAAATGAGAGAACCAGAGTTCAGAGACAGTATGTTCCTGTTAGTGTGAAGGACAAGGCTGGTAGTTGTAGGGAGTGTGGATGACTGGAAAAGTTGAGGCTTGGGTCAAGAAAAAGAAGGCGGCTTATGTCAGATATTGACAGCTGGGATCAAGTGAATCTTCAGAGGGATATAAAGGCAATCAGAGTATACTTAAGAAGGAAATTGGGGATGGGGTGCAAAAAAGGGACCCAAAAAGCTTTGGCACATAGGGTTAAAGAGAATCCGATGAGATTCTACAAAAACATTAAAGGCAAAAGAGTAACAACAAATTGGGCACCTTAAAGATCAACAAGGCCATCTATGAATGGTGATTGGTGAGATGCCAAATGAATGTTACATGTTAGTATTTACTATGGAGATGGACATCGAAGCTAGGGAACTAGGGGATATAAATAGGAGTGTCTTGAAATGTCCATTTTACAGAAAAGGAGGTCTTAAATGCGTAATGTTTGATGAATCCCTGGGACCTGATCAGGTACATCCCTGAACTTTGAGGAAAGCTAGGGAAGAGCTTGCTGGCTTCTTGCTGAGATATTTGATTCACTGACAGCTATGGGTGAAGTGCCGAAGACAGGAGGGTTGCTAATGCGGTGCCGTTATTTAAGAAAGGTGGTAAGGAAAAGCCAGGGAACTATAGAGTGGTGCGGCTGACATCAGTGGTGGTAAATTGTTGGAGAGGATTCTGATGATCAGGATTTACATACATTTGGAAAGGCAATAACTGATTAGGGATAGTCAATATGGCTTTGTGTGTGGGAAATGATGTCTCACGAACTTGATTGAGTTATTTTTAGATGATAAAGAAGATTGATGAAGGCAGAGCAGTAGATAATGTCTATAAGGACTTAAACAAGGCATTCAACAAGGTTCTGTGTGGCAGACTGGTTAGCAAGGTTAGAACACATGTAATCCAGGGGACTAGCCAATCGAATATAGAACTGGCTTCAAGGTGGGAAATAGAGGGTGATGGTGGAAGGTTGTTTTTTGGACTGGAGGCCTGTGAACAGTGGTGTGCCACAAGGATTGGTGCTGGGTCCACTGCTTTTCGTAATTTATATAAATGATTTGGATGTGAATATAAGAGGTACGGTTAGTAAGTTTGAGGATGACACTGAAATTGGTGGTATAATGGACAGTGAAGAAGGTTATCTCAGAATACAACAGGATTTTGATCAGATGGGCCAGTGAACTGAGGTGTGGAAGATGGAGTTCAATTTAGATAAATGTGAGGTGTTGCACTTTGGTAAGGCAACCAGGACAGGACTTATACAGTCAATGGTACAGCTCTGGGGAGAGCGTTGAACAAACAAACCTAGAGGTGCAGCTGCATAATTCCTTGAACTTGGAATTGTAGGTTGAGAGGCTGGTGAAGAAGGCATTTGGCACACTTGCCTTCGTTGGTCAGTGCATTGAGTATAGGAGTTAGGACGTCATGTTGTGGCCGTACAGGTCATTGTTGAGGCCATTTTTAGAATACTGCATTCAGTTCTGGTCTTCCTGCTATGGAAATGATGTTGTTAAACCTGAAATGGTTCAGAAAAAAATTTACAAAGATGTGGCCGGGATTGGAGGGTTTGGGTCATAAGGAGAGGTTGAATAGGCTGGATCTTTTTTCCCTGGAGTGCAGGAGACTGAGGGGTACCTATAGACATTTATAAAATCATGAAAGGCATGGATAGGGTGAATAGCCAAGATCTTTTTCCAAGGGTAGGGGAGTTCAAAACTAGACGACATAGATTTAGGGTGAGAGGGTAAAGATTTAAAAGGGAATTGAGGGTAACTTTTTCATGCAGAGGGTAGACGTGGTAGAAGCTGGTACAATTACAACATTTAAAGACATCTGGATGAGTACATGAATCGGAAGGGTTTAAAGGGATATGTGCCAAATGGTCACAAATGGGTCAGAATCAGTTTAGAATATCTGGTTGGAAGAGTAGGAATGAGAGGTCTGTTTCCATGTTCTATAACTCTATGAGAAGGGAAATGTTTGGAGAAATGCAATTGTTATCAATGTACTGGTTGGCTTGCTGTAGTCATGTGACCTCTGCCTCTGCTACAAATGCCTCTGTATGCAGTCTGTGGCAACCATTAAGCACATCACCTTTTATTGGGCTCTTTATTGTCTGTAACTCATTAGGCATTGGAGGAGGATGAACTCTCAGTGGGAGGAAGATGAACAACACAAAGAACCAATTTTCTTGACATAATTAGGTTGAAGCCTGGGCCATTTTGACTATCAGGCCTCAACTGTATCTCAACAGCCAACACCTCACCTACAATTGTAATGTAAGCTGTCTTTAGATAGATCAAAGCAGCTAGGCCTGAGGCCTCCCACCAGCCCCAGGCTAGATCCCTTGTGTTGGAGCAATTATGTTGAACCCCATGATTATGTTTGGTCTAGTAAATGCCCAGGCTTTTCTCACAGGCTCAGATGATTCTTGTTCATCTCAGTCACTTCCAAGGAAAGTTTCTTTTTTAACTTGAGAGTTAAGCAACTCATTATCCTTCCAGCTCACTTGGCTTTTGAAATGTGTTTGGGCTCCTAATGACATCACAGGATCCGACTTTCCCAAATGGAACAATGTTCCTGTCCAAGTCAGTAGCGTCTCAGCTTTTAAAATAAAAGCGACACGTTCAACCAACAATGGGCAGGAATCAAGGAGATTGAGCTCCCAATGTATTTCCACTGCTGTCAGATAGGTTGGAAGTCTTCAGCAGGCCTGGTATCCTCTGTGGAGAGGAAACAGTTAACATTTTGAGCTCAATAGCCCTTTCTCAGATGATCTGAAGAAGTTTGACTGTACTCAAAGCATTAACTCTGTTTTCTCTCCACAGATGCTGCCAGACCTGTTGGTTTTCTCCAGCAATTTCTGGTTTTGTTTCAGATGTCCAGCATCCACAGTTCTTTGTTTTATGTCAGGTTAGAAGTCTTCCTTTGTTTTTATTAGTCATTTTTTAAAATATAAAACCACAGACAAAATTACTCAAGGAGACAATATGTAGATAGTTTTAATTACATTGCAGATGACTCACACTTTATTGCCTTTTCTGCTCAGGTAGCACATCTGGTGGCTTACAAACATGGAGAATAGCTAAACACGATAGCAGAACAAATATGCAAAAACTAAAAGGAAAACCCATCTTATCCACAAGTAAACCAGCTATGGCACTGAACGTAAGTTTTCCCAAGACTTCAAAACTTGCCAGAAATGTGTAATGGGTGGCCTGCAAGAGAGAATAGGATATATGGAATATATTAGCATGTCATCATTATCATCCATAAAAACATTCCATATGGTGTTAGAGGCATCACCAAATGACAACCTGTATTTTAGAAGAAATATTTTTAAAATATTCAAGTTTTGAATCTAGCACAACTATTTGTTTGTTACTTATTTCACCTTTTATACTTCTGCTATCACATATTTCTACAACATTTTTACCCCAATGCTTTGAAGATTTAACACCAAGTTAAACCTGGGGACACAGAATAGCCAGAAAACTGCCACAGAAACTACTAAGATTTTATGAAAATAATCAATCTACTATAAACAGCCTGGAGCACCAGCAATATAAATAAGATAATGTCAAAGGTCAGTTTATCTTATAATTCATATATTTCTCTGAGCTCCAATTCTGACTTGTTGCTGTCTTAGTTGAATCAATTAACAAAGTGTTACAGTGAAAGCATTCTGCAAAAGCGTAATAATCAAACTCTCTTTTTGGATAAAACGTCTTAGCTGTCAATTTTTAAAATCAATATTCAAAATTACAACAAACAAGTTTCCTACCACTTCAACTTGAGATTCCTACACTTAGACTTAAATGTTACAACACT